GACAAACTACACGGTGGCCAGGGCAGTTAATCTCCTTCTCCTTCAGTTTCCTCATCTGCTCAGTGAGAATCATCATTCATTTATTCATTCATTCAGCAAATCTTTATTGAATGCTTTCTCTGTGCTGGGCACTGTTTTAGGTTCCGGGAGACAGAGCTGGGAACAAAAGAGATTTTCTTTTTTTTTTTTTGGTGAGAAAGATCGGCCCTGAGCTAACATCTGTTGCCAATCTTCCTCTATTTTGTATGTGGAACGCCACCACAGCATGGCTTGATGAGCAGTGTGTAGGTCCACAGCCAGGATCTGAACCTACGAACCCTGGGCCGCCTAAGCAGAGTGCATGAACTTAACTATTACACCACTGGGCTGGCCCCCAAAAGAGATTTTTTAAAAATTCCTTCCTTTATGAAACTTACCTTCTACTGAAAAGGCCTCCGGAGATAAAGTAAACATATGAGAGAAGACATAACCTTCAAATCAGGGACCAACCAAAGGGCTGGTTGACCCAACAGAGAGAGCACAGCCCCAGGTCTTAGAAAATGTCCCAGAGGATTAATGGCCAGGGCCACTTAAAACAATACACAATCTTTTTGGCTTTAAGATACAATTGGATTAAAAGGATTCACCCTTTCTTTAGTATCTTTTCTTTTATATCTTGGTGCAGCTGCTGGAGGCCCCTTCTGATACTCTGCTGATAGGCCCCACACTCAGGCCAACGCTCGCGTTACTGCGGCTCCCCACTTGTTTGGCGGTGGGCAGCTTTCAGTCTATCTCAGTTATCATGGGGAGCAGTAGATAATACACATAAGTGACAAACTAAATTCACAGATAATTTTAAAATTTAATTTTGGCCACCACTTCTCCCTTTGTAGTTATTTATCGAAACTACTTAGAAAGCCCGCATTAACTGATTTGGTTCTATTTTCTGTTGCTGCCTCTGGGAGAGGTGCAGATAAGCAGAGTGAAGACCAAAAGGCAGGCAGCGGGAAGGAGACAGCAATGCCGTGGATAATCCACATGGCGAATGCCCAGATGCTCAGACAGTCTAGAACGTTAACTGTGAGGGCCTGGCTTCCATATTGCTGAACGCCTGGCCCTCACTCCTGGGCTAAAATCTTCTCACGTATGGGCAAATTACCCAGCATGTGTATGTAAAACACCCTTTACTTATGGTTTTAAGTATAAATATAATACAGAGACTCGTGTGTAATTAAGGACTAATAAAGGACTTAGCAGCTGTGGCTGATGGCCCTTCTCAGCTCTCCAACATTCCTTCTAGCTACTAAGCTGGTTATCACTAGCCAACCAGAGGCAGGGATTTCCAATACAGACAGACCATCTACCATCTACCAGCCAGAAGTGATGACAGTTATTTTTATTTATGATTTTTTAAAGTTTTATTTATTTTTTTGGTGAGGAAGATTGGCCCAAGCTTACATCTGTTGCCAATCTTCCTCTTTTTGCTTGAGGAAGATTGGCCCTGAGCTAACATCTGCGCCCGTCTTCCTCTATTTTGTATGTGGGACGCTGCCACAGCTTGGCTTGATGAGCGGTGTGTAGGTCCACGACTGGGATCCGAGCCTGCAAACCCCAGGCTGTGGAAGTGGAGTGCACGAACTTAACCACTATGCCACTGGGCCAGCCCCGATTTTTATTTTTTTACTTATTCTATACCTCAAGTGCCTCTCCATCTCCCCCACAAAATTAATGAAAAACATTCATTCCTGTGTGCGTGGGTGTGCATGAGCGGGTGTGCACACACCCACCCCCATACACACACTGAGGGTCTCCCAAATACGTGACCAGTGTCAGTGGGATTTGGCAATGTATCACAGCTTGTTTTAAGATGGAAATGACTATTTTTTTCCACTCTCTCAGGATGGCGTGGCTCTCTGCCCAAGAAATAGGTTTCTCTCTTGATAAACTCCTGCAGCTGTAAGATCTCTATCTCATGGAGCAATCTCAACCACAGATGTCTTGCTGGCCCTAGAACTCCAGGGGATGACAATATGATTTAAGAATGGAAGCAGGGCAGAATCTCAGAAGCAATAACCAATTTGGGGTTTTAATACAAGTAGCAAGTTTTGTTTCTCCCCTCAAAGAATGGAGAGTGGAGGCCCACTAAATGAACTCTCCAAGTGAGGACTCTGAATCCAAGTTTTTGAGACTTTCATCACAATGCCTTTATGAATGGAGGCCTGCCCTAATCTGAACCCCCGCTGGGCCTGCCTCTCTACCCCCCCCATCTAAATGGAGGCAGTCAGGCCTTTCTCCCAATCTTATCTTGAAGACAAGGTGAATACATGCAGACAAATAGCTAAGCAAATATTGCCTTATTATATTTGTAATGGATCTGTAGGCTCCCCTACCAGTTCCAGGCAGAGGACAGTGGTGGAACATCCCAGGGCAAATCAGTTCTGCTCTGTGCCAGGATGCTCTTTCTCCTCTCATCAAAAAGTCTCCCTGAGATGGCTAGAACTGCTTGGTCCAGGCATTACATCCAATGCAATGATCTTCCAATTAGACTACATGGTAATAATAATACATGTCAGGTACCAGGGAATCCTGCACAGGGTTGCCGAGAGCACTGGGTTGGGAATCGGGACCTGGTGCCTGTCTCCCTAAGGATCTTGGGCTAGCTCTTAATGCCTGTAAGTCCAGTGTAGTCTTTGGACCACGAGCATAGGATTCCCTCCAGTCCTTGTTAAAGACAGTAGTCCCAGATCCACCCCAGACCAACTGAATAAAAATTTCTGGTGCTGGAGGCCTAGGACTCTGCATTTTTGCAGTACACTAAGGTTTGGGACCTGCTCAAGATTTGGAAGTCTTTATCTGGAAACCCAGGAGCTGGAGATCTGACTGCCATGTTCTCTTCCTGCTCTAACATTCTATGGTTCTGAGCAGAAGCTCGTTTTTTTAGGTTGGTCTCCATATTCTCCAGCCACATTCCTATGGCATTACTCATCACTTTACAGACAACTGCCAATCCAGCAGGGTTCAACAAGCATGTGACAATAATTATAACTTCATCCCAACCTATTTTGAAAATTAAATATTTCCTAACTCTGGTTGTCAGTGGATACAACAATCACACTGGTATTTGAACATATGACTTACTCCCCGTGTCAGAAAGAAAACATTCAATATTTACTCCATCCCCTTGCCATGACTGTGCAGGAAAACCTTGACGTGATAGGGATGATCCATCTCCCTTCATGAACAGGGAAGTCACTTTTTGGGATTGTGGACAAGCCACTCTCAACTAATTTCCTGAAGATTCTAAGGATGAACTGGATTTCAGCTCTTAAACACTATGAGCACTCGATATAAGGTAACTCTCCAGGCCTCTACGACAGTGATACAGGAAAGAACAATAATGCCAGCCAGTGTTTCAAACCCTTATTATCATTATTAATCTGTGTGATCAGTTAGTTCATTTGGTTAAATGCCAACTAATGAAGCCAAGGACATGGTTTTGATCTTTTGTAGGCCAGCTGACTTCAATCACTTTCTTTCATGGACCACTCATCTTGTAAACGTCAACCAAAGGAATCTGAGTAACACTGTGAGGAATAGTTACTGGTAAAATAACCCTGGGTCTGATGTTCTCTCACATCAAGTCAGAAGGTTCTTCTTTAGTTACTAAAGATACAAGTAGTACACATGGCCATGGATACCCTCAGGCAGAATCTCTTTTAGATTGTTTTTTAATATCATTTGTTCACTATAACCCAATGGAATTTCTTAATTCCATTATTTCCTCAGAAATAAACTTTTCTAGAATAAAACTGGTGTCTTTATGTGGTTCCTGGCTCACCTGCAGGATGGTCACCCCAGTGCAGCCTGGATCAATGTCTCTCCCTGTAATTCCCCCCTGCCTTTCTAAGATATAGCATCTCCCTTCTCGGATCCCCGAGCTCTGTCTTACTCACTCTCCTGGCCCCACATACTGGAGTCCGCCACTGGAGACGGCAACATCAGTGGCTGCAGAGCATCCCCACAGCCTGTGCTTTACCCAGGACCCCGTGAACTAACCAGCGTTAACGTGGCGGCTGTAAAATGGAGAAAGAAGGGAAAGGGGAAGGCAAATGTGAGGTTTAAACTCAATCTCTGAATTGTTTTGTTCATAATAGTTATATTAATAGCTACTATTTATTGAATATTTAACCTTGTGCTAGCCCTTGGCGAGAGTGCTTCAATATATTACCTTATTTAGTTCTCATAACATTCTCCTGTCCCTGTCTCTAATCGAGCTCTGAAGTTTCAAGGGTAAAGGGTAGAGGGTAAAGTTTCCTTACCCTCTTCCATATGTGCACCATGTAGCAGGGCTCCATGGACAAGACTGAAAATAAAAGGAGACTAATGAAAGATAATCACATGTCCAAATAAGGAACGGGAGAGCAACTTCACTGAGGGGGATTTAATGTCAGAGAGAAACTGTACATCTGGGGCAGAGATGAAGAGACCGCGCCAGGCCGGCCAAGCCTGACCTGGCTACGCATCCTGTCATTCGTGAGGCCTCCCTTGACGGAGGAGGCGACAGCAGCAGCATCACAAGTTTCCTCTCCCAGGCGGGAGCACAGTGCAACGTTCGTGCGGTCCAGTTTGCACCTGGATTTCTGCAGCTCAGGCACAAATATTCAGTTCATGTCTTTCCTAACGTGTCAGGCCAAATGACCCCCTTTCCTCTTGGTGCAGGGAATTGGGGCAGGAGCTAGTGATCTTTGGAGGAAGAATAATTCTTGCTGGAAAGACAGGCCTGGGAGTCTGGGGAGGTGCAGGTCCCCTTGTTGTCACCGGTCAGAGATGACTCGGACTTCTCCTCATTCCTATAACTGTGGATTCTGCAAGTATGCACAGAGATGAAAAGGTAAGAAAGCACTGGGCCTCTTACGGAACCAATCTGTATTCTGGACAAGACCCTGAAGACATCACGGTTTAAGCTGAGTGCCTGCCACCTTCCAGAGGGCCTCTCGGCCTAATGGCTGGGGTCATAGGGCCGTCATCTACCCAGCAAAGACTCCAGACTTCCAGACAAAGCCATCTTCCCCAGCCTACCACCACCTCTCTCCTCAAGGCCATGGTGGAGAGACAGTGAATATTCCCGAGTCCCTACATCCTGAGAGTCCCCACCAGAGGGAGAGTTCCCACCCACTGGGAGTCGAGAGCCAGCAAAGTCCAATCCTCAAAGATCTCCAGCGTCTCTTAAATAAGCTTTTCCTTTTCATTTTCTGCTTTTCCTTTTCATTTTCTTCTTTTAATTATTTATCATCCATCCATTTATTTATACAAATATAAAATATATTTATATAGATTTATATAATATAAACTTTGTGAGGCAGAGTGGAGAAGAGGGCCAGAAGTGCGGGCCCCGCCCTGGCTATTTGCAGACATACTGGTCGACAATCTCGGTGCACTTCTTGCACTTGACAAAGCAGCACCAGTGGAACTTGCAGTGGCAGCGCTCCACCTGGACGCTCTTGAACTGGTCGTAGCCGCGGCCACAGCACATGAGCTCGCAGCCGTCCATGCCCTCCGAGGTCTTGTTGCAGAGGCGGCCCTGGGTGCCCAGGGAGCCTGTGGTTTCGTTGCGCAGGCAGTAGTCAGGGCTGGGGTCCACGTAGACCAGGTCCTCCGGGGTGGGCTGGGTGAAGCGGCTGTTGACCAGCTCCAGCTTGCCTTTGCGCGTGATGCGCATGGCTGCCGCACTGTCGTACTTCTCCTTCAGCTGGTCCCCCACCTTGCGGAACTCGGCCAGCTGGAGCCAGCAGGTCTTGAGGCTGCAGGACCCTGAGACGCCGTGGCATTTGCAGGCTATGTCTGCCATCTTATACACAGCCTGAGGAGAGGAGAAGAAGGGAATGAGAAGGAGTATCCCGATGGACGATGTCGAGAGCGTGGGAGGGTCGCCACCTGTACAGAAGAGGGCTGATGGTGTGTGGGGGGGGGGGGGCGATAATTTTTCAAATGTATAGAGAGATCTTTCTAGGATCCTCAGGTGCTCAGATTGAAAGCAGACAAAAGGAGCACCACATAGAAAAACGCTGGGAGGCAATGTTGGTGTCTGATCAGGTACAAGGAGGGCACCTGGAGCCCTTGCACATTTTACTCTGTTTCTTATTGCTTGAAATTTGTTACCATAAATGCGTCATCTTTACCATTAGGAAAAAAAAGGACATTTCTATCATGATCAAAGTCTCAAACAAACAAACAAAAACCAACAAAACCTGCCTAGTTTTAAGCACAAGTCAGAAAAAAGAATCCAATTACTAGCCTATAACCGAAACTGCTGGCATGGCCCTGGTTAGCCAAAAGCTCTCCCTGGCCCTGCCAAATCCCCTTAGAATTAAATTGTCCCTTTTTCTGTGTTAACATTTGGTCATTAACTCCACAGAGTCATCAGGAGCCTCACCGTGAACCATACCACATTTGTGAGCAAGACCACTTTCTTCCACCCCAGCAACCCCAGACACCCCCTGGGAGAGGCTGTGAGTGTGGAGGGAGAGGGGCAAGGCCCTGTGCAATGAAAGAGAAGGTCGGCAGGCTCACCTCTAGGGGTGATGCATTTGAAAACAAATTTACCCGGAAGTCACTGAACCACAACAATGTGGAGTGGATTGGAACTTGTTTTATCCCACATCAAAATTGAAAAGCAAGAGGAGACCAGAAAGCTGCTTACAAAGTGTTTTCAGTGACAGCATACTGACGCAGTGTGTCAAATAACCCTGGCAGCGGGCCCAGCAGTGCAGACGGCAGGATAGAAGTGCAAGCCTGCTGCAGAACATTTTCTTATGCTACAGCTATTGTCACCAACTGAGTCGAGACTCATTTTTCAAGGGCTTCTCTCAGATTTCTTTTCAAGAGTCCCCAGATTGCGTCTTTATTCAGCACTATGCAGAGACCACTGCAGGTGCAAGAAATAGCTTAACCATCATCAGCTCATGTTACTATTGTCAAAACTCTTCCTGATTTTTTTCTGGTATGGAATTATTCCCACTATTTTATGGTGGAGAAACTGAAGCTCTAGAGAGTCTCAATCACCTGTTCAGGGCCACCCAGGAGGGAGTCTGAATGACCAGCACTTCTGCACTCCAGTCTTGGGGCTTAAACACGGCTTAGGGTGGAGGAGGAAGGAATGCTCCTCCCCAAGGTTAAAGGCACTTGGCTGGCAGCTCCAGGCCCACAGCATAAAAGAACCAACTCCCATTCCAGCAGGCACTTCAAAGACAGGGCCTGCAATTATCCTTCTGGCACAAATCCCCCGGGTCTGAGCTGGAGCCTGACATTCCTCTGGAAATGGTCCTTGGTTTAGACAGGGATGTCAGGCATCTGGCACTCCTGGAAGGAGGAAGCATTAAGGGCCTAAAACTGTGTACCCTGCCGCTAAGTGCCTAAGAGGACAGGATAAGCATCTCCCCTGGGAGCAAACACTGAGGGAGATTTGGGGAAGAAGAGTCAGAGCAAGACCACAGATGAAGGATAGAGAGTTTAGGAAGACAGACCCAGAGGCAGAGTGTCACTGACCCCCACTATTCAGACATTCACTCCACCCTTCCTCTAGGAAGGAAGACATTGTAGAGACATTTTACTATTGATAGTATAGATAAGCTCCTCTTGTAGGAGAAGGAGGAAAAATCCTAATTTGTGGCCCTTTCTGCTAACTGAAAAAGCAATAAAATGTTTTTTTATTTTCTTAGTTTTACATTTTGCTCCCTGGCAAAGCACCGCAC